AATCAGAACAATTGTCTTACAATGAATAACACATATCAAACAAACAACTATCTGACTATGTTCAGTAACTCCCAATTCATCATTGTAAAAATGTGTTTTTTGCTGTTTTTTTTTTAAATTTTGTCACGTAGTTTCTTTTACCCCATAGGCGGGGTAAAATGGGAGGGCCAGAGGGCAAACAGGTCCAATGTCTTAATTTTAATTTTAAAAGGATTTTGCAAAATAATAACCACATTATTCAAACAATGCAAAATGAAAATTTCATGGGTACAATTTTTCAGAGATAATACTAAATTTAACCTTGATGTGGTATTTCGCCAGAAATATTCATTAGTAGAATTCGGATAATTTTTTATTTAATTTATCTCTTCTAAATATTTACTATTTTTGATTGTTCACACTTTTGTCAGAGTAAGATTTCTATTGTAGTCCAGTCATTATAGTAAGTTCACCTCGGAATTCGAGTTACCCAGCTGTAAATACTTGTATTTTTCACCCTAAAAGTTGTCTCAAAAGCTACATATAGTAGGGTGTACGCAACATATGTAGGTTTTGAGACAACTTTTAGGGTGCAAAATAGAAGTATTTACAGACTTACAGCTGGGTATCTCGAATTCCGTGATTCTTACCTAATTTAAGCTTAAATCATTGGACTATTGGTTCTCTTCACCTTACTCACGTGCAAGCTTCTATAAAGGTTATATAAAAAAAATGTTAAATCTAATTTGAAATTGACAATACATCTTATAAAACAATTAAATAACGTATACTTAAAAATTGTATTAAGCTCTCGTAAACTAAACAACAGTGCTCATAATCACAAAAACGAAAGAAAGAATAGGAAGGAAACTAAAAGAAAAAAATACTTTTTTATGGATTTTCAAACATTGCCGTTTATAACCGATAAGAACGTCGTAAGAATAAAAGTGATTGTTGATTATAGATATTTTTCCCTTTACTTTCAAATATTGTTGCTAAATAAAAATTAACTCTATTGGTTTTTGGGTAGGCACAAAAAATTTGAAAAAAAAATTTAATGAACAGATAACACTATTATACAGACAATGTTTTTATGTATAAAATAAGTGTTATTAACGTAACTAAAATGTTATTAGTTTGTGGAATGTACTAAGCATTTACTTTCAGTATTTGCTTTTTCAATGTAGAACAAAATAAATCGTGAAACACAAATCTTCTTCAGAAGCATATTATGATCATTATAGCAGTCGCTCTGCAAATATTAATTAAATCTCGCCATTATAAGAGTTCCGTTACAGATAGTTGCATTTTGAGATCATAGGCAAGCCGACGAACTGGCTAAGTCCAAAAAAATAATACAAAAAACTAATGCAAGTTGAGAATAGAACGTTCTTTTGGTATCATAACTACATATTCTATAAATGATTTTGTATAGCACACGAACTGACTAAGTCCAAAAAAATAATACAAAAAACCAATGCAAGTTGAGAAAATAACGTTCTTTGGTATCATAACCATATATTCTATAAATGATTTTGAGTAGCACACTTTCATGGTAAATATTTTATTTTGGATAAGTGATATTATAGCTATGTGATAAGGTTTGGTTCACTTGGCCGCCTCGGACAGCCCGATGTCAAGCAGTAGAGACATTATTATTTACTTGAAAATATAGACAGCAATATGTACCCAAGTGAAAATAGTCCTTATCCCGCCTTGCTGCACAAAAAATCGTCAGATTTACAGAAATGGTAATAATGATAAATTCGAGACATAAAGATATGCCAACCGTTGGGTTGCCTTCTGAAAAAGCGACCTAGTTATGTAAAATCATCACAAAACACCCTTAAGTTATAATGGCATATTAGGTTTCGTGATTATACTTACATCATGCAAAAGATTTACTAACTAGATTCGAAATGTATCTTCTAATTCATGAATACAACATTAAAAAAGATCTTATATTGTATATTACTATAGTTGATACTAAAAAGTTATTTTTAAGATTATTATCTTTAGGTGTCCACCTCGCCTGTCATATAAAACTTTTTAAGATTCTGGTAATAAATAACATTTTTTCAAGTTAATTGACAATGTATTCTTCAACGAGTTTTTTAACCGTGATATATCGTTCTGATCCATCTGAAAGTCTCTTCTATTTTCCAGTATACGTTTTATGATAATTGTTTCGTTTTATGCCCTCAATAAACAACAAATGCTGCGAGCCATATATCTCCTGAACGTTTACGGCTACAATTTTTTTCCCTCATTTTATAAACACATAACGAAGACTCTAAACTCATTATTGGAATGAATAAAATAAATAAACTAGTAGTGTATGGCATCGTGCATTAAGGCAAATTGCTGGAACTTTCCGTACCTTAATGAAATATTCGAGGAATATTAAATGTTTTCAAATAAATTGTTATAAATAAAGTAATCTCATTATTATTATTGTATAAAAAGTAAATAAACAAAATTTAATCAATCGGATTTAAAATGAAGAACATTGTTTAATATTTATGTATATCGGTTGATCCGTTCTCCTAAAAACTGCCATTTTTAGCACTTTTTTCTCCATATCAATAGGAATCGTATGTTTTTTGAACCATTCAAATCGTTTGATCCGTGCGCCCGAAAACGTGGACGAAAAATTGTATTCATACATACATACACATACACACAATCATTTTTTCTAAGGTATGCCAAAAAGTTCAGAAACCTCTAAAACGAGAAGATATGCAAAAATGTTCAATTTCGATTTTTGGACGATTACAATAACTTGCCCTACGGGAAGTTAATATTACTAAGGTAACCGGATTCAGATTTCCATTTTGTATCCCGGGTTTTCTTTAACAAACGGAGTGCAAATCTATCAAAAATATTCTGTTATTTCTATCGATCGTAACTGATTAATTAATTACTGATTTGTTACTAATAACGATTCAGCGTATCATAAAAAGGATAGTTTTATCGGTAATAATTCTCAACTGTGCAGTTTACATTGTATATTTGAACGTGTAAAATTTGTTTTAAAACTAAATTCGAGAACAACGAATAAATAAACTCTAGTTGCCCAAAATAAATCGTATCCCATGTATCCGTAGTAAATCTCATATCGTCTTGTTGTGTGTTTGGCTTTTGGGATCGATCTAATGTATTCCAGCTGCTTCAACGAATCGTAAATTCTACACTTTTATTGCACTATAAGGATGGTATGGTTTGGTCACGGTTTTATATTATTATAAATCTTGTATAAAAATAACGTTTTAAATTACACGTCTACTTTTTATACACGTTACGAAAATTCGATCGTAAATTAAACTTGGGAGTTGTTGAATGTAGTTTTAAAGTTTATTATTTGACTAGTATATTCGTCAATCACTGACTAATAATCGGATGAAAAATATGGCTTTATTTTATATTAGAAATATTATTTGTACATTATATGTCTATTAACATAAGCATGTACCACATACGCATCAAACTAAAAATGTAATAAATCTATAAAATATTATACTTGTAAATGAAAGAAAGTAAGAATATTTTTTGATGAAAAGCAAAAACTATTTTTAAAATAAACAGTAGTAAACGTTATTTAAATAGCTAAATCTTAATTCTGATTGAGCATATTTTTTACATATTTCAAGAATGCTACTTGCCCCAAAGTAAAATGCCATTTACAACTACTTATTTTATACAATGATATCCTCAAAATATTCTAAACAACTTGGTTTTTCAGAACAAATTTGTTTTTTCAAAAATTTCAATCTAACAAGCATAATCTCATTGTTTTATAAGCCTGACTAATATTCTAGTCGATACACAAACTTATGCCACTTCACCAGGACGAGTATATTTGTCAAAGCAAATATAATAAACAAAATCTGATGGTGAAATGCGAAGATAAGAACAAATAATCAATCCAGATAAAAGAAATAAACTAAAATATTTTTCTAAACATTTTTCAATACGTTTCGAGTTCCAATTTAACTCTTTCAGTGAATAAAGCACACAAATTCATTGAAAAAACACAAAAACCACGTGAGAATCGTTAGCAATTGTTGAATGGATTTAACATCTTTTATATAAATTATAATTGATTTATTTTTTCATTTATATTAATTCTTATTTATTGGTTTCAAATTAAAAAAGTTTTATTCCTTTACGATAATATTTTATTCTGTTATTAAAATATTTCGTGCATTTATAACGTGGTTCTTGTTTTCTGTTTTTTTTAGAATGAATTTTTGTATGTTATCAGAGAAGGAAAAGCCAGATTTATTAAAAAATATTGCGATAATGTTTAATTAAATTTATTGATTTATATTGCACTGAAAATAAGACGAAGCCAGTATCGACACAAATAGTATTTGATAAAAGTGCAAAAAGGGTACGGTGTGTTTTTAAAGAAAAAAATATTTATTAATTATACATTTCGACACATGAAGTGTGTTATCATTCAGCAAGTCTACATACATTAATACAAATATTAAAAGTAAATGAAGAAAGAAAATGAGAAGAAATATACATACCTAACCAGGACAAAAACACATTTTTTATTTGAATTTTTAGTTAAGCGTTGTGTTTTCGTAATAAAGTTTTTTTATAACTACAGTGAGTGTTTATTTAAGTTTATTAGTGTTTGTGCCCTGGTTAGGTATTCAGTGTATACTTCTATTCATTATATTTTATGATTAATATTCTAATATGTGTAAATTCATCATTAATATTCTAATATGTGTATTCATTGTAATAATGTACTAGATATACTGAATGATGACACACATCAAGTATCGAAAAGTATAATTAATAAATAAAGATTTTCTTTTAATTTTATAAATCTAATATATAACGCACGCAGAAAATATTATTGTATGCAATAATTTTCAAAAAGACTTCTCGGATTCATAAACGATTGAAAAAAATCCATTATCGTACAAAATTAGTTCAATCGTGGTTTTTGTAAATTATAACGTTCAGTTTGAGTTCGCCGACAATAAGAATAAATAGCTCGAGGCTTACCATACAGCAGCAGCAATTGTGAAGTAGTACATCAACAGGAAAACGACTGTGCAGTTAGCATTGCTCAATCCATCACTTAACAGCAAGCTGACATTGGGAGCCTGCAAGTCACGTCCGCAAGACACCAGATTCCTTCCAACCAATGCCCTGACACCCCAGCCGAAAGCAGTAGCTGCATGACACAAACACAACGGCCACAAACTAGGAACGGCACCCCCTGAAGGAGCAGCCACTACCACCAAAAGGGCAACTATGCTGGCTGCAAGTCCGATGGCACCCCAGGCGGAAGACCAGACTTCAGCCAGTCTTTTATCGGGATCTTCGAATAACACATCGGCTCCACAAAGAGGAGCACATCGTCCACTTCGGTTGACGTATGAATAGAGTTGAGGATTTGCCATGCGTTGACATGGAATGCCAATTATGGGCGGAGGTCGTACAACCGGAGGACTGGTGTCACTTATGTCTTCTCCGGGGCCTTCCATGCACATGTGCTCGTGGTTGTTCTCGTTAGGAAATCTTTGGCAATCGAGAGCGGCAGGCCAAGAAAAACCAAAACCTTGCAAAACAGGGTAACATCTAGCCCGCACCGATTCACATAAGCCTCTGCACGGTCCGATAGGATTCAAAGCTTTTTCAGTACACATGGGGACGTAAACCGAACACAAGAAAAATTGTAATTGAGCGGAACAACCGTATTGTATCAAAGGCATAAAAGTCTTTAACGTAAAATCTGCATCACTTTGCAACTCGTGTCCGATAAAATTCGGCATTCCGGTTGCATTGTAACCGAGTCCGCGGCACAAATCGACGCGAATTGGTTCACAAGTGCGTAACGCGGGATCCAAAGAAGGAGCTGATAAAACCTCACGTGTTAGGAAAAATAATATGATCGGAATAAACATTGTTATAGTTTGAAACGTCATTTAACGGCACAGATAACGACTATAACCCAACTCCACGAGAGTTGAAACACGACTGAGCGTATTGGAATGAAAACAGTGCGGAGCCACGACCATTGACGTTCCTCCACCACCACTACTCCAGCAACGACCTTAGCGTGTGTTGAGAAAATAATGTGCCCGCCAATAAAGCAGAAATGAGATAAAACAGAATAAGAAAAGATGAATCTTATTCTTTAATTCTTTCAGTGGTAGTCGGACTTTCGAGGCACAATAACCGGAGCATTAGATATAATTAACTAGGGTGCATGGCATCGTGGCATATTGCTGGAACTTCCCGTACCGGAATTTAAAACCTTTAAAATTCTTCGAAAACTAGTGGGGCGCATGGCATCGTGCCTTAAGGCAAACTGCTGAAACTTCCCGTACCAAATTTTTTTTTTCTTTGATAAACATTTTTGAAAAATTTTACTTTGAAAAAATTAGATTTTCGAGAAAGTATAAATTTTTGACTAAAATTTACTTTTTTTGAAAAAAAAAACTTAAAAAAAAAAATTATTTTGAAATATTTATTTTATTATTTGTTTATTTTATTTACCCCCCTCCCCCCCTTTGTCAGCAAAAGTAAGCAAAGCTGTCACCAAAATATCACATAAATAAGCAAATCAATAACCCCCCCGCCCCCCTATAGTACTTACGTAATACTTGAACGGCCCCTAACGGAAAAACATTGGTACGGAACCCATAGGAATGTAAACAAAATTTATACCTATTGTTAAAATCTCTATAAAATATCTGATAATTTGATGTGCATATGTCCAATGATCATTTTTGACCGCCAAATGGCTCATTTTTTTACTTTTTTTACAAGATCTCCGAAACAGCTACACCTGGCTTTATAAAAATGCTTCATGACCAATGCTTCATCTTGTCAATACAAGTATAATGTTTTTTGAACTATTAAAATCGGATGCTCCGTTCTCTTAAAAACTGAGTTACCGTTTTTGGCACCTTTTGCCCCGTATCTTCGGAACAGCTAGACCTGCTTTCGCCAAAAACTAATCAGCACGTTTCCTTATCAGTATGAATCGAATGTTTTTTGAATTATTCAAATCGGTTGATTGGTGTTCCCGAAATCGTCGAAGAAAATTTGTATCCGCACACACACACACGCTCACACACACACACATACATCCATTTTTGCTAAGGTATGCCAAAACATTCAGAAACCTTTGAAACGTAAAGATATATAAAAATTTTCATTTTCGATTTTTTTGCGATTACTATAACTTGCCCTACGGGAGGTTAACTAGTGGTGTATGGCATCGTGGCATATTGCTGGAACTTTTTGTACCGGAATTTAAATTTAAATTCTGGTAAAAAAATTTAAACCTTTAAAATTCTTCGAAAATATCCAAAATTATATATTTTATTTTAATTTTTTTTTTAAAATATTTATCTCAATTTTTGAAATCATTTAAAAAAATTGAATGTTTTATTCAATTCAGACCTTTTTGTCATTTATTATAACTTCCCGTAAGGCATGTTATAGTAATCGCAAAAAAATCGAAAATAATTTTTTTTATATATCTTTACGTTTCAGTGGTTTCTGAATATTTTGGCATACCTTAGAAAAAATGTATGTATGTGTGTGTGTATGTGTGTGCGTGTGCGTGTGTGTGTGCGGATACAAATTTTCGTCGACGATTTCGGAAAAACGGATGAAGCGATTTGAATAATTCAAAAAAAATTCGAATCGTATTGATAATGAGACGATTAGTTTTTGGCGAAGGTAGGCCTAGCCGTTTCAAAGATACGGGGCAAAAAGTGCCAAATATGGTAACTCAGTTCTTAAGAGAACGGAGCGTCCGATTTGAATAATTCAGAAAACATTTTACTTGTATTAACAAGATGAAGAATTGATCAAATTTTCATGAAGGCAGGCTAGCGGCTTCGAAGTTCTAGTGAAAAAAAAGTAAAAAAAAAATGCCATTTGGCGGTCAAAAATGATCATTAGACATATGCACACCAAATTATCAGATATTTTATAGAAATTTTTAACAATAAGTATAAGTTTTGTTTAGATTCCTCTGGGTTCCGTACCAGTGTTTATCCGGTAGACGGCGACGCAGCGTTTACGCGCTTCGATATTTCGTCTCTATGCAGTTAAAGCAGTACGATTGCTTTGAAAAAAAGTTCAGAATTTCCAAAATATTTCAAAATAAATGATTTAAGATAGAATGATTTAAGATGGTTCGAAATTCTATTAAAAGTTTCAAATCATTGATCAACTTTTATTGATTATTATTGATTATTTTTAATTACTCGAATTTTGAATTGCGGCACGAGAAGTTCCAGCAATTTGCCTTAAGTCACGATGCCTTAATTACCTTAATAAAGAATTCCACTTACAGCTAGTTTTCAGATAAATAAATTATAATACTTTTACGCAATCTACTCATCTTTCGTCGCCATCTTTTTCATCTTTCGTTTAAAAAAAAGTACTTGTCAAATAATATTTTATGAAGATTATAATTAGATTACTATAATAAAGATAATTGTAACACATATACTTTTCATTGTTCAGATAAATAAATTATTTTACTTTTACGCAATTTTTTACCTCTAGTTTTCATATTTTTCATCAGTCGTCGCCATCTTTTTTATATTTCGTTTGAAAAAAAAATGGCACATGTCAATTTTTTTATGAGTATACACAATAAAGCTGGATCACAATAAGATCAATATTTATAACAAAGAGATGTATTTTGTATTCAAAAAAATAAATTATATTTCTTTTATGCAATTTTTTGGCTTTAGTTTTTACATTTTTTATCAGTCGGTTTGAAAATCAACCATGTCACTTGTCAAAAAAGGTTTAGAGAGGATTCACTATATATATTATAAATCAAATCACTATAAGATAAATATTTATAACACCCTTACTTATTATTATTTAATATGAATGAATTATAATTACATTTATGCAATATTTTTCATCTTTAGTTTGATTTTAGTTGTTTTCAGATGAGACAAAATAAAACCAGCCTACTCCAATTTGAACTGTCACTCGTCCCCCATCAGGCACAGACAAAATAAACAATTGATCATTGGCAACCCTGAAACAATTGCCAATAATTTATTTTCGTGCGAGTAATTTTTTTGCGAATTTACAAAGACATAAAATCTTTCCAAAACTTTTTTACTTTTAATACTTAACAATTTTCCCATGACTGAGGTAAATATAAATAATAATAATATCGAATTTTACAATCTTTGATCTAATTACAAATTCGATTAATATTTGTTTTTATATCAGATGACGGAAATTGGTGATGTGAGTAGTATGTTACAAGGCGCTGAGTTCGAAAAACTAGTACAATATGGAGTTAATGATAAAGTTGCGAGCAAGTTAGTAGAAATATATAAAAGCGGTAAGCTTGCACACGAAGAACTTGATGTGCGAGCCCTGGACGCGCTGAAGGAATTTTCCGTGGACGGTGCTATCAATGTGCTGTCACAATTTTCCGAATCTAACCTAGAGCACGTTTCAAACAAATCTGCATTTCTTTGTGGAATTATGAAAACCTACACGCAAAAGACTCGTGTTAATAATGGCTCTACGACGAGTCTTACTCAAACTGTGATCAAGGGACCTGACGAGAAGAAAATTGAGAAAATATTGAATCGCACAGGTTATTCTTTGGATGTGACGACGGGGCAGAGGAAATATGGCGGTCCACCGCCTGGTTGGGACGGACCTAGCCCTGGTGCTGGATCCGAAGTGTTTTGCGGAAAAATTCCTAGAGACGTTTACGAGGATGCTCATCCCGTTGTTTGAGAAGTGCGGGATTATTTGGGATCTCCGATTGATGATGGATCCCATGACAGGTGCAAATCGAGGGTTCGCTTTCGTTACATTCACAAACCGCGAATCCGCACAGATCGCAGTTAGGGAACTGGATAACTATGAAATAAAACCGGGTAAAGTATTGAAAATAAACATAAGCGTTCCAAATTTACGTTTATTTGTAGGCAACATTCCTAAATCACGGGGTAAAGATGAGATATATGAAGAGTTTAGCAAACTTACTTCAGGTTTAGTCGAAGTCATAGTGTATAGCTCTCCGGATGACAAGAAGAAAAACCGGGGTTTTTGTTTCCTAGAGTACGAATCCCATAAGACTGCCTCTCTGGCCAAGCGGCGCCTGGGTACAGGCCGGATTAAAGTCTGGGGTTGTGATATAATTGTGGATTGGGCCGATCCTCAAGAGGAACCTGACGAGCAAATAATGAATAAGGTTAAAGTGCTGTATGTACGCAACCTTACGCAAGATACGACCGAGGAGCGGTTGAAAGAGCGCTTTGAGGCCTTTGGACGCATCGAACGCGTGAAGAAAATCAAAGACTATGCTTTTGTCCATTTCGAGGATAGAGATTGCGCGGTGCAAGCAATGAAGGAATTGGATGGTAAGGAGATGTGTGGTTCGGAGATCGAAGTTACTTTGGCAAAGCCTCCGTCTGACAAGAAGAAAAAAGAGGAAATCCTGAGAGCCAGAGAGAAGCGCATGATGTTGATGCTTCACAACCGCGGCGGTTTATCCCCTCAAACCCATCCGACTATTCTGGCCGGATCCGGGCGTACGATTGCAGCCCCGCGTACTTCCCCAGGCATCCGCGGCGCAATGGGCCGAGGAGATTATGACTATGAATACGATTACTACGGCTTCGAAGCACGCCGCATGACTTTCGCTGATCCTTACTATGACGATTACTACAGATACGACGAATTCTATGTTGATTCGCCGCGCCAGACCCGCACCGTGAACACCAGGGTCCCGTCCACTAGAGTATCCAGAGATATTCTACCCCGCGGCCGAACTGGCGTTCCTACCAGAACCTCGCGTCCAGAGACTTTGCGAGCGACCGCTTCTTCGGGAAATACCCGATTGAACGTGAGGGCGAATTCCGGCGGAAGAACAAAATCTGTTCTGAGCAGCGAAGATGCCACCAAGCGCAAGTATGAAGGGCTCCCCCAGAGCGCCGATCCTAAGCGCCCCTTCGGTTGCGGATGGGAGAGCCAGCCCATTGCCGGTGAACACCAGTGGTACACCACCGACTATCCGACAGGATGGTAGTCAGTATAACAAAGCTTAATAAGATTAAATGGGTGTCTTGGGCTCAGTCTAGAAGGTACATGCTAAGCGTAAATAAATAAGCGTTATTTATACGGGACTGATAATTTTTAAATTACGTAGTAACTTATATCTTTGTTGCAAAATTGTTACAGTAATTGTAATAAGTTAGAACGCTCAATACTTAAATTGTTAAATTTATGTGATTATATTATTAACTTAACATATGCGATCATATGTATTATTCATAATATAGATATAATAATTATTATTGCTTATTTATTAATAGAATATAATATATCTCTATTAATCTAAATAATGTAAATAATATATTCGAATTCGTTCATCGCAGTGTAAATAGCTCTGTTGAGATAATGGATGAAAAATATGGGATTATTTTACAAAATTGAAAAATGTTTTTACCAAATCTTACTTCTTTGTTAAGTGTGTATTTGTATCCTAATGTAGAGGCATAAATTTTAGGTCATTTTTAAATCATCCTAAAACAAAGGCAATCATTTTTTTACTATTAGTTTTTATAGCTTATTTATCAATGCTACAAGAGTACAGACAAGAAGTCAATAATTTAAGAAATTAGAAGCTCTTGAAATGGGAGTTCTCAAAAAATTGAATCCGAAATGAAAAAAACAGATGATTACTAGAATGATGTCGCTATAGCATATACTAGGATTAAGTTAAAACATGAATTTTTGACTGGAAAAAAAGATAAATTTCCACCCAATTTTTTGAGTTTCTCGAAGTTTTTTAAAATGGTAAAAAATAAAATTTCGAGATGGGACAAGTTTGAGAGCCTGAGAGAAGTCTATGAAGAAGTAGAACTCGAAAAATCGCGGGCATCATATTGAAAAAGATAGTTTTGAAAAAACGCGTTTAAAGTTTCCCAAAAGGAAGAGAAGTATATTCGAAAACAATTCGAATTTTCAAAAATCTTTTCGTACACATTAAATAGTTAAACTTTAAAAATATTGAAAAATATTAATTTTTTGAGTTTCTATACTAAAATACATTTTTAAAATAAACATGAAAAGCAAAAACTATTTTCAGAATAAGCAGTAGAAAATATTATTCAAGTAGCTAAATCTTAATTCTTATGGTTTAATAAATTATTTTCCTATTTTGGGAAGGTCGTGGAACTTGCCTTAAGTTAAAATGCTTTTTACAAACACTTATTTCATATAGTCATGTTTAAAATATTCTAAACAACTTAACATTCAGAAATCATTTTGTTCTTTTAAAAAATTTCAATTTTAATGCACAAAATTCTGCCACTTCTTCATGACGAGTATATTCGTCAATCATAGTTAACTGTTAAAATATTTAGTTGCATCATTACAACTATTTTATGTTAGCTTACATAAGAATGAAAAAAATTGTATCATTCAAATTCATTATATTTTCAGATCAATTTTATAACTCATATCACATTTATTAAAACCACTTATGATGCAGATGTAATTATGGAAGTTTACTTTACTGTTAGAATTAAGAATGCATATTGCTAAATATCTAAATAAAATATAATAAGCAACAAATGTATAATCGAGTCAAAATATATTTACTCTTTAAAGCCCAAATTGTGTTTTTTTTTGTTTCATATAATGTTTATCATATTAAAATATTTTATAAAGATATATTTATATAACAATAATACATATTTTTAAAGTTACCGTATTATTGATAACTCTTTATTAAGCTATATCAAAAAGATTCATATATTTTTTTATATTTAAACTTAACTTTTAATTTTAATCAAATAAATATATGCAATTTGTGCAATTTTACATTTTACAATATTATGTATACATTATAAAACAAATGTGTTAATTTCAATAAAAGTATTTTTGTGTGAAGCTGCTCGTATGTTTTTAAGATTATAGTCTTAATGTAAAGTATATAAAATCAACGATATGTTTCTGAATCAAAATTTGTTAATTTCTTTAAGATTATGAAATATAGTTTATAAAATCTATATAGTTGCCTATTTATTTAAATATTAGATTCATAACAATGATTTTACGAATTACAACTTGATAGAAAATCTAAAATTATAATATAATTTATGTAAATAGTTATGTTTACTTAAAATTAAATATTGAAAGCATTTAGACTTTCGTCAGATGAAATAAAAATTAAATTATTGTTAGGACTGTGTAATTAAAAATTAACTGAATATTCTCCTATATCAGATCGATTCAAGTATTATCAAGTTATATTTAATTGAAAATTTGTTAGTATTATATTATTAGAAAATTTAACTTGCTGAGAATGGTTTGGCAGCATCAAGCTTAGCCTGTAGTTCAGTTCTTTCAGCTTGTACTATCGATAGTTCAACACTCAAGTCTTGACATAATTTAAGAAGTAGTATATTCTGGTTTTGCAATTTTTTAAGCAATTCCTTTTTATCTTCAGCATTCGCATACTCTTTCAAAGCGTTATTAAAATAATTAGCATTTGGTACAAAAACATCCTTTTCACTTTCTTCAGGTCTTTCAGGACTCTGAGAACTCCTCGGCGTTGGTTTTCGATAAACTTCAAAAGCACCATGTCTCCGAATGTTACCTGTAGCATCTAATTGAAGTATGCAGTCTACGTTATCTCTTGATTCAGGAAACTGAGTAAAATCAGCAAAACCTAAATTATCTTGTTCGTATGTACTAGATTCAACACCATTGTCCTGATTATTTTCTTCAGTATGACTAATATTTTTATGAATATTATTTCCAAGTCCAGGAGAGACTCTCGGTGGTATTTGAGGTGGTGATAATGCTGGTGGGGAATGTTTTAATTTATTCAAATCTAGACTGCTGCTGCGAGCATGCGTTCTATATTGTCTTGGAGGAGGTGGAGGAGGCTTTTCTTTTTTAATCGCACCACTGAAGTTGGGAAGTGATATTGGTCCATCAGAATCTAAACTAGCCGTGGCCACCAGCTCACGATTTTGAGTTGTTCCTTAGAAAATATAATTTATTAGCTGTTTAGAAACTAGGTGTACGTGGCATTTTGCCTAAGGCAAGTTGCTCAAACTTCCCGATATAATAATCAATCGTAAATAATCGTTATCAATACGAATTGAGTTTTATATAAACTTTTGAAACTGGAACAACAGAATTTTAAACTTTTGGCACGGCTCATTATTCCAAATTTTAAAAACTTTTTATAATTGAACCACTTTTTGTAGGCCCAAAATATTTTAGGATGTCGGTTAAGACCATAAAATCCAAAATATTAAAAACCTTTAAGGTTTCATCAAAATCGTAACCAGTGGTACATGGTATTGTGAATTAAAGCAAATTGCTGAAGCTTCCCGTCACAAAAATTAAAATTTTTCAAAGAAGCTTTAAAATTTTTGGAGAACACAAAAATTTAGATTCGTGAGAATTTTGAAATTTTTGAAAAAACGAGTTTTTTGAATTTTTTTTTATAATTCGTGATTTTTTAAAAACGTCTTTCCAAAAATATAATCGGTTTTACGTTTCGTCAGTAATAAATAAAATGTTTTTCGAATCATTCAAATCGTACGCTCCGTTATCTCCAAAACGGAGCGACCTGCCTTTGCCAAAAAGCTAATCAGCACGTCTCCCCATCAATAGGAATGGAATGTTTTTTGAATTATTTAAATCGGCTGATCCGTGTTCCTGAAATCGTCGACGAAAATTTGTATCCGCACGTACACACACACGCACACATACAACCATTTTTTAAGTTTTGCGAAAATGTTCAGAAACCTTTGAAACGTAACAATATATAAAAATCTTTGTTATCGATTTTTTTGCTATTATATAACTTACCCTACGGAAAGTTAAATATTTTTTTCCTAATAAGAAACAGTCCGACAGATCTTTCTCAAAGTTAATCAGTACAAATCCCAACTCAAATGTCTTTCGAACGGTTTTTTAATTTTTAAAATCAATTTAGAATTGCGGACTAAAACGTGGACGAAAATTTTTCACTTTTTTGCTATTCATGAAGAAACGGCTCGGCCGATCGTCGCGCAAAATTGACAAACAATGGTCCTCATCGAGATACATTGAATGGCTTTTAAATTTTTGAAATCAGTTCTTTTTCTTTTTCCAAATTTGTGTCTCAGTCGATTCAGAATGGCGTGAAACGTTGAGAAAACATAAAATTACCAAATCGCATTTTCACGCAAAAACAAACTTCTCCGTAAGCGGAATCCGTAATAATAATTATAATAATATGAACCAATATTTTTTTAAATTACCTGTTCCCAATGTGCAATTATCTCTATTTTGAGGAGGCGGTGGAATTGCTCCGACTGTTTTTAAAGCACCCTTTTTAGCTTGAGGTCTCTGTATTGGTTTGATATCATTTGTTAATGCATCCATATTTGTGCCAAAATTATTGTTCAACACCATTTTCTTTGGACTATTCCTATTTATTATCAGATCTCCTTCACCTTTATGTTCATATAGGTCCGATTTAGCTCGTGCCATTCTATATAACAAACAATATATAATTAAACATATATAATTAAATTACTCGAGTCTCAATTACATACTATTTTTTTCTCTTCGGCCTTAAATTATTGTTAAAATAAAACTTCAACTGATAGATTTGAAAAAAAATTAATTTCCATTACCTCTCATCGTCTTCATTTGTAACATTATTTCCATCAGGTGTTACTCTAAGAGGTACAGGATGCAGAATCTTTGGATCGGTTTCAACAGAACTAAGGTGAAAATCAAAATTAACAGGCTTAGGCCCTGGACTAGATATGCTTGAAGTGGGAGAATCTACAAATTTCGTCCATTCTTTGTAAGACGTATCTTTTTTATTCGGACTTAACACAGTAGTTGATCCTTGCACCGGGGATGCACCACCACTTAACAGATCATTTCCTTTACTTGTGCTGCCAAAGTCATTTGGAATTGAATTTCTTTCGCTTTTTGCCACTTGCGGTGCTGTGTGATCGACACTAATTGATTTGTATATTGTAGCACCATTGTTTTGAGTAATAAAATCTTTTTTTTCTGTATTACTATCATTTTGATGGTCATTATTGAGAGGCTTGCTATGTTTTGCATCACTCTCCATATTTCGTGTGTTATCAGTATTGGGAATTAAACAAGCTGGTAATGTAATAGGTAATGGAATATGATTTCTACGCAAAACAACTAGATGCATTGCAGTATTAAATTCAGCTAAATTAAGAGCACCATCTCGAGTAACATCACTTAATTGCCAAATGTGACGCAATTCTTGAACAGGTAATCTAGATTTTTCGAAAAACATTCTGAAAAAAAATTAAATGAATATAATTAACTTTATAGTAATCGCAAAAAAATCAATAATAAATTTTTAACTTCCCGTAGGGTAAGTTATAGTAATCGCAAAAAAATCGAAAATGAAAATTTTTATATATCTTTACGTTTCAGAGGTTTCTGAATATTTTGACATACCTTAGAAAAAATGGATGTGTGTGTGTGTGTGCGTAGTATGTATGTGTGTGCGGATACAAATTTTCGTCGACGATTTCGGGAACACGGATGAAGCAATTTGAATAATTTAAAAAACATTCGATCCGTATTGATAAGGAGACGTGCTGATTAGTTTTTGGCGGAGGTAGGTCTAGCCGTTCCGAAGATATGGGGCAAAAAGTGCCAAAAACGGTACCTCAGTTTTTAATAGAACGGAGCGTCCGATTTTAATAATTCAAACAACATTTTACTTGTATTGACAAGATGAAGATTTGATCAAATTTTTATAAGGGCAGGTTTAGCGGTTTCGGAGATATAACGAAAAAAGTAAAAAAAAATGCCATTTGGCGGTCAAAAATGATCATTAGACATATGCACATCAAATTATCAGATATTTTATAGAGATTTTAACAATAAGTATAAATTTTGTTTACATTCCTATGGGTTCCGTACCAATGTTTACCCGTTAGACAGCGACGCGGCGTTTACGCGCTTTATATTTTGTCTCTATGCATTTAAAGCAGTACGATTGCTTTGAAAAAAAGTTCAGATCTTCCAACATATGTCAAAATAAAGAAAACATTTTTTTTCAAAAAAAAAGATTTAAAAAAAAAATTTAAATATTTTTTTTTTCAATTTTTTTTTCAAAAAAAAGTAATTTTTTGTCAAATTTATAGTTTCTCAAAAATCTTACTTTTTCGAAGTAATTTTTTTTCAAAAATGTTAATCGTTTTTAAAAAAAATTGATAATTTTTGGTACGGGAAGTTCCAGCAATTTGCCTTAAGGCACGATGCCCTAATTGCCTTAAGACAGAATTCCACTTACAGCTAGTTTTATATATTTTCATGTTTTTCACACTAAAAATTTTGGCATACCTTAGAAAAAATTGATGTATGTGTGTGTGTGGGTGCGTGTGTGCGGATACAAATTTTCGTCGACGATTTTGCGGACACGGATGAACCGATTTGAATAATTCAAAAAACATTTAATTCCTACTGCTAAGGAAACGTGCTGATTATTTTTTGGCAAAGGCAGGTCTAGCCGTTTCGGAGATACGGTGCAAAAAGCGCCAAAAATGGTATTTCAGTTTTTGAGAAACGGAGCGTTCGATTCAAATAATTCAAAAAACATTTCATTTGTATTGACGAAATGAATAACTGGCGAATTTTTTGTAAAGGCATGTCCAGTGTCTCTGGAGATACATTAAGAAAAAGTGAAAAATAATTCAAGTTGGCGGTTAAAAATTATCACTAGATATATGTAAATCGCATTATCAGTTACTTTATAAAGATTATAATTATAAGTACAAATTTTATGTGCGTTTATATGGATCCCGTACCAATGTTTACACATTAGACGACCACGCGGCGCTCACGCGCTTTAATATTTCGACTCCAAATCAGCTGCCTTACACCACTAGTTTATGTTGAATTTAATTTTTATCAAAATAATTATCTCAATTGCTACTCACCTCGCTATACTACCAGCAAGAAGACCTTCAGGATTTGGTTGCAGACTTTTAAACTGTGCAGCATAATATTCCCGCTGTTCTTGTGTAATGGGCCAAACACTTGATGTATCTATATCATCACCATCAGGTTCATCACTACTATGTTTGTCACTAGATTCTTCTTCAGTTCCTGCAAACAGATTAATGTAACAATTGTCCATAGAAAATTATAATGTGCACGAGTTATTGTATTAAACATTTACCAAGTAGCTGACGCTGCTCTTCACACCAGTGCATTTGATTTCCCATGACACTACCCCATGTTCTTTCGGCAACACTATTTGTAGGAGTGGGACTATCACTTGTTGTACTCCAAACGCTTGGTGAATTTCTAGTCTAAGGTAAAAAATACATAATATACTAAATAAATAATTATAAGCATGTACATAATATTTCTTCTATATTATTTCTAGTTCTGGCTATTCTTACCACACACTCAGATGGATCATTCTGTTCCATTTCTGAATCAGTGCTAGCATCCCCTTTTTCCTCAATAAATAAAGACGTCGCTTGACTCGCACTTGCATTCAGTTCTTGATTACATGTTGCATTATATATTGACAGAGATTCTGCTTGCAAACTTTCTTGTTCACTTAATTCTATGAGATCAGGGCTTCCACTTAACCTCCATTTAAATCTTGGTAAAGGTAAATCAATTTGTTTCGTCAATAATTCTTGATTCAGAGGTATGTGAGCTTGATGAGCTGCTATTAGTTTCAAGCATCCATAAAACTGAACACGGTTCAAATGATTTGCCAAAGTAGGGTGTGCTATTGAAAATATCTGAAAGGTAAGAAATAATAGAAATATCTGAATTATAATCAACAGAACAGAAATAAGAGGAAATGTTATATGAAGCGTTACAAGATTATATAATGATCTACTGAAGGATATAAAGATGACTTGTGATAAATACAAATTTAAAAAGAAGATAAAAAAAATATTATGAAGAAAATGAAGATAGGTAATTTAGATAAATGTTTATGCATCAAACAGTAAATAAGTATGAACATACGAATGATTTCAAGTTTAAATGCGGTGAAACAATGTATAAATATTTTTTTCACGATCTATGTACAGATTTTTTAATATAGTAAAGTAAGTTGTATTTTATAAATTTAAATAAAATGTAATCGACAATATTACAGGTATTATGACAATATTGAATATAATATATTTGAACATTTTTCTAATGTTTCTTTAAGAATTTGCAAAATTCAGCCGCTGTTTGGGTTGTAAAATTGTTCTTGTTGATAGTGAACTTATATAAAAATATGCATGTTTTCACCTTCAAATTCAATTTACCTGTTTTAAAACATCGTTGGGAACTTTAGAAGATCGAAATAGTTCAGTTGCTTTTAACAAAGCAACTTTTCCAGCCTTATCTTCATCACAACATAAAAATAAATCACTGAAATATCTTGTTTCAGTGGATGTCAAATTCAACATCTCCATTTTAACTGAGTAAAATTAATTGCAACAAACTATTAAAACATACTTAAGAGAGGATGTGGGATGGGTTATCTCTCACATATTTATATTACATTTAGAGATAATAAGATTTTATGAATTCCTTAATTTGACACTTCTGCCTCCAATACTTGTCTCGTTTGTGTTATTGCCATATGCAATGTAAAATGTCAAACCGACAAACTGGTTTGAGAAAATGAAAATGTTCGCCGATTGCAGCGACAATAAATAAATACTGAAAAGAAATAAATAAAATTGTAATATTTATATTATATTATTATATAGATATGACTAAGGAAAAACTGCTGCTCAAGGTTTTGAAATAATTGGCGGTGCGGATGCTTATAGAACAATTTTGACGTAACTTATAGGTTAGAAAGATTGGGTCAGGTATTTTAACAAAAACTACCCCGTGTTTAATTTATATAAATAATAAAACTTGATTAATATTATCCTATACCATATGCAATAATTTGTTTCGATAATAAAATATAAAATTAGTTTCAGTAAAACCTTATGAAAGCAGTTTTCCCATCAGAACCAACCAAAGTCCTTTGCAAATATTTTTGCCTTATACAATACATAATACGATTCTGCTCAAAAACCCATTATTAATTAGAGCATATATATTTTAAATAAATTCATTTCAATCACCCGGTTTAATTTCATTACGTTAATTAATAAATCTGTTATGATTATTATTACCATAACCTCAAATTTGACAGCTGTCAAATTGCCCTTTCATCTCGCCCTCAGTACAAGTTTAGGCCTAATTCCCTTTAAAATAAATAATGACGAAGTTATCACATTATCTTAAGACAGATAAGTTAACAATGTAAACATGTTGTGTCTGGGTTTTATCTGTCTTTATCAGATCCCAATGTCTAGTCCCAAATTCTATTGTTAATTCAGTCAGTTGCATTTTAATTACACATGCACAAGAACCTGATGCAAAAATGAGTAGTAGTGAAAAAGATTTTGATGATTTAAGCAATTGGATGACCAGTTTGCCATCTTACATACGGGACATGCCACTTATTCATCTTGCTATTCCTGGTAAGTAATATAAGTATAAAATAATAATAGTAAATTGTTGTCTGCCCATGGGCAAGTCCATGGTGTGAGAGTACTATAAATCAATGATTTCCTTTTTGTTACTTGTTTGTTATTGCCATTATTCGTGTTTTTATACACTTGTATACATTTTTCTTTAAAAGTCTGCTTCTATGCTTCCTGGTATTGTGTATCGGCTTCCAATTCTCTGTGTTTTTACTTCTATCATCTGCATTATTCTTCTTTTTAACCTTTTTTTTAATTATTATATGCATCATTCTTCTTTTTAACCTTTTTTTCTCACTTCCAATTAATTTTATAACAGTGCTGACAGATACAAGATTATATGGAGCTCTTTATATTTACATCAAATCAAATAATATAAAATTATAAATGCAATATACATAAAACAATGATATATATGTAAGAGATAGTGTAGATATTATGTAATTTAGTATATGGCTAATGTACCAGTTTATAAAGCCAATAAAATATAAAAAAAAAAAAAAAAACCTTTTTTTCTTTTTAATTTTACCTTTCTCGACTTCATGCAGTGGAGAGTATGAATTAGTAAAAAATACCTCTTGTTTATGCAGAATGGGTCCGATCCAGTTTCCTTTTCCTTCCATTGTACTCAGTAGAGTTCTTATTAATTTATAACTATGTAAATTTACCATGATATTTAAATATAATCATCACTTCTGACTTTTACCCAATAATTTTGTGTATACGTAATTATTTTTCAAGGGACTCATGATTCTATGACATATGGTATAACACGCAAATCTGAAGCTAGTCCTGATGCTGATCCAAATATTAAAAAACTGAGTATATTTTGTCATAGCACGGTCAGACGATGGGCCATAACACAAGAGTATGATGTACAGGAACAGCTTCACCAGGGTATAAGGTATACATAGATAAAAAATACTTCCTAAAACAACTCAATATATTTAATTATATATAAACATTTTATCTCTATTTTCCCTTAAGGTATTTTGATTTTCGAATTGCAACCAAAAAACCCTCTTCAGACTTTTATTTTGTGCATGGATTATATGCAGATGAGGTTTCCAGCAGTTTGGTCAAAATAAGAGACTTTTTGGATACTCATCCTGGTGAAGTTGTTATAATTGATTGTCAGCACTTTTATGATTTTTCACGAAATGATCATTTTCTGTTTTCTAATATGCTTTATGAAGCTTTTACATATCGCATTTGCCCCAGCAGTGGATCAATAAAAAAGTGTACCCTCAATGCGTTGAAGCAAAATAGAGAACAGGTATAAATTGCTAATTGTATATTTATATAGATATTTAATTAAATTAATTTATTATTTAGCTTATCATCATATATCGTGGTATGACTGGTCACAAATATTTTTGGCCAACATATGTATGGAATAATCCTTGGCCTGATGAAATAACAGTTTCGGGGCTTCTTGATAAATTAAAATTTGGCTTAGAAAATAGAGAGGTGGATGTTGGTTATGTTTCACAATGTCTTCTGACACCGACCCCAAAATTTATTGCTTTAAGGTATAAAAATTATTTAGATTTTTTTTATTTTTTGCTTTATTTCCATTTGTTTTCTTATTTAGGTGGCACAGTAATTTGAAAAACAAATGTGCAAAGCCTGTTGCTAAAAATTTATTCCCCTGGATTAAGCAGTTGGAACCAGGATGCCCCAACGGTCGTGATTTACGTGTTAATGTTATTCTTGCTGATTTTGTAGAAATTAATGAAAGTAATTTTAGTAAATTGGTGGTGGATTTAAATAAAAAATTAATGAAATTAGCTGAGTAATATAATTTATTGTAGTTAATGTACACAATTATTCCTATTCACATGCTGCACATTCTAGTCTTATTTGTAAGGAAGTGATATTATAAATAAGAAATATTATTGCATTCCATATTTGATCTCTGAGCTTAGCACAATTTTACACTAATTTTAAACTTTACTACTGTGCTGTTATATACAAATGAGTAAATGAAGAATAAAAAGTATTAACGCTTGTATGAAAAGTATTTTAATGAATATAAATACCTATCTATAGATATATCATTTTAAGGGTATTGTGGCACTGATTTACGAATAATTACTACATAAAATATTTGTTAGGTTTTCAAACCTAGTAATAAATAAAATAGAATATTACTTAAAAGAATCTAATGGGATAAAATAAATAGGTTTTGCAATATTTACTACCTAAAGAGCTTTCACTTTAAGCTGCTTCATCTTTGGTGCTTTTTTCTTTAGTTGTCTTTTTTGTTCTTTTTCCTCCCAACGTCTTTGCTTTTCTGGATCATCCTCCTAGTAAAAAAATATAAATATAGAAACTTTAATGTTTAACAAAAATGGTAACTTCAATAAACCTAGAGAAAAAAATTTAAAAACCGTTTTTTAGTAGAATTTGGAGTTTTTTACTTTTTTCACATACATACACAATTGTTTTTAATGTATGCCGAAATGTTAAGAAACCTTTGAAACGTAAAGATATATACAAATTAACATTTTCGTTTTTTTTAAAGATATATACAAATTAACATTCTTCGTATTTTTAATACGAGAAGTTAATAAAATTAGTATAAAAAAAACCACATGATTTCAATGATAAATTATCTCAATTATTAAATTACTTACAGCCATAACTTTTTCTTTCTCTTGTTTTCTGCGTTCTTCTCTTCTCAATGCTGCAGCTTCTGCTCGTGCCGCATGAGTGCTCTTCAAGAAAGCTTCTTCTACTCTAAGTCTATTTTTATCAGCCTTTGCTTTACCCTATCAAAAAATAAATATAGTCTATTATAAATAAAAATATTCAGATATATACTAAATATACTATTCAAATTTTTGCTATTTTATGTAAGAAAAAGTGGAAAGCATGATACAAAAAAATGTATTATCACTTACTTCTTTGGAAAGTCTGTATCTCTTAAGTTTCTCCATTAGATAAAATGTTAAAGTTAGAAGAGGTAGAGATGCTTCACTTATTTCTGTGAGATTTCCTTTAGCAGGCAAATTCAGAACTATATGAAGAATTTTGAAGACATCTGGTTGTTTTAATAATGTAGTATCCCTATAACATTAATTACATTAAATTTAACACAACAATAAAATAAAATTCCAATTAATACTCACTCAGGTTGCTTTTGACCACTGAATTGATCTGAAACATGAATGCTCTCAATCATGTCAGAATATTTATTTATTGCTGTAACAACTCTAGTATCTAAAACTGCAGAAGTAGCTTCCTGAATTTCTGACATGACCATGAAATTAGATGGAAGACCGAATTTTTCACCGGGCCTACGCTCTGGGCAGTAGACACTCTGTTAAACAAATAAATATTATTAATTTATTCTCTCTCCCAAATATATTAATTTATTTTATCTCCCAATTAATTTCGTGGAACTTACTAAGTCAGCTAAGTCTTTGTACATGTGAGATGCTGCTTTTTTGGTAGCAACACAAAATATAAATGAGTCCATATCTTCTTTAGACATTTCCACTTTTATGTGCACTTGGTCACTTATTGGTCGCAATAAGCCACTTATAACACCAACTAAATCTTGACGCTAAAATAATAAAGAAACATGTTCACATAATATGTTAGATTGGACATAAATTATTAGTTATTACTTTGATGAATTTCAGCTCAACAAGCATTCCTTCGCAACATGTTCTTCCACTGCACCATAAAGTAAAATGATTATCACTTTCCTTTAACAGTCCCGGACAATCGCTTTCCAACTTTCCATCATCACCTTAAATTTTTATACATATTAATATATACATACACAGCATTATCTATACTATTGTTTACCCACCCACTAAACTGAAATTTTCTTCCAACATACTACGATGTGAATTGAACCACATGTTTGCTAATTTAGTGTTTTTGCTCTTTCCTGTAAAGAAATTAATGAAATAAACACATAAACCAGCCAACATTAACATCTCCATCCAATAAGAATCCCAGTGGGCTCTTAAGTGATGAGGGACATTTGTAATAGTAATTTTTGGTTCCGTTTTAGGAGCATTTTGTTGATTAGTTGCTGATGGCTTTGTAGAACTTTCGAATCCTTCAAATTCTTCGTCATCTTGGAAATGCTCAAATTCATTATCCTCATCCTACAATAAAAGGATAATTGATTATTTATAAAATATTGAGAGAAAATTAAGACTGAAGAAAGGTATTGGGGTAGGTAGTGAAAGAAAGGTAGGATTCATTCAATATAATAAGCAAAGTAGAACAAAGTGGTTTTAGTATAAGAGAAACTTCTATCCAAAATGTGCAATAAATAAATTTTCAATATATTATACCTCAACTACTGTGTCATCTTCCTCAGTTTCCATAAAATCTTTTTCATCATCTTTAATTTGTGGTGTTGGCACCGAGTCATCTATTTCTGCACGTTCTGGTTTTTCATTAAGCACAACATCATCAGCTTCAAAATCTTCAAATTCAGCAAATTCAGTATCATCAATACTGGGATAGTCTGAATAGACTTTATAAGTGCATGATAGGAGCAAGATAAATATAACCCAGGTTTTCATTTTGGGTTTATATATTATTTATCATATAAAAACTTATAATATATACATATAACTATATTGCACAGTATTTAATTATATAAATATTATTAATTACATAGGGATCGATTATATTACTTTTCTATTCTAATGATTTATCATAACCTAAATAAGATACTTGTGTTGTGTCATGTGCCTACATTATCATTCTCAATGCTACCAATGCAAGAACTTGTTCAAAATTATGGCGCCAATATTTAAAAATATGTCGAGATAAATAAAAAACGAATATGTTCGTGTAAAATATTTATTTAAAATGAAAATAAACTCCTAAACAAATAACTATAACAAATAGTATCGAAATTACAGCTAAAATAACTTTATGTTGTATGGAACGAATAACCATACCCCTTAATATTTTATTGGATAATCCAAGTTCAGCATCAGTATCTCTTAGCTGCAAAAAGAAAAAATACAATAAGTATTTTTAACCACACTTGATCTATTATAATTATTGATCAACTTACTTTGTTTCTGGCGCCTTTAATAGTTTCTCTTTGCTGATTCAAATCTTGTAATACCTGTACACCAATAGCTTCAGTCTCCAATGCAATTCGGTATCCATCGTTTAGATATTTACCAGCTCTTTCAATACATTCTGAATTATCTAGAAGACGACGTTTTTGATCTTGGGTGATTGACACATCACTGAAGTCCTCTACATAATCAAAGTCTGACAGAAGAAAAGTTAATATCAATGTTTATCATGGAAAAAAAATTTAAGGGTGTAGAAATACAAAAAAAGTCATTTATTTATACTTTCAAAATTTAACTGTTTAAGACGATTTTTTAAATTTAAATTATTTTCGGAGATTTAGCTGTTTAAACATGATAATTCTCCTCTGTTTCCTTCCTTTTGCGAGATTTTAAACACCTTTTTCTCAAAACTGTATTTTTCAATACAATACCCATGATTTCTCAAGTTCTACCAGACCGATTAACTTGAAATTTTCAGAGAATCTTCTTTATACTCTTCTCTCCAGCATACAGCAGCCTCAACTTTTCAATTCTTACTATTTTTTAAAAAATTGGGAAGCTCAAAAAAGTGATAAAATGGACCTTTTTTCAAACAATCACCATATTGACAAAAAAAAAATTGTATAACTTAATCCTAGTGTATATGTCATTGTAACATCATTTTATAATAATAATCTTTTTTTTCATTTTGGATTTTCAGTTTAATTTTTTGAGACCCCCACTTTAAAAACCGCTAATTTTAATAACTATTAACGTTTTTTGTTACCTTGTACCTGTATTCTTGTAAGGTTGATAAATAAATATTAAATAAATTAATCGCTTTTTTTTACAATGATTTAAAAATGATCTAAAATTCATGCCTCTACTCTTAATAATCCCCTTTAATAATCCATCAGGTTAAACAATTAAAAATGTGATATATAAATTTGATTAATATAACTTTAAATCATTATACCATTTTTACTGCCAGATTTTGCATTTGTTATCTCTTGCTGCAGTCTTTTCAATTCAGCTCGATAGCAATTTAATCTTGAACGAAGATAAGGTCGTGATGAAGAATCTGCTTCGTGAATTTCCAATTCAATTTGTTCCAACTATAAACATACAGATATCAGTATCAATATTGATTTGAAAAGATATTTAAAGTACATCATTTGCACTCACTAGCTCATGAGCTTCAGTCACATGTTTGTCAATTTCTATCAGAAGATTTTTCTTCTCATCTGAAAATATTGTTATCAATAATAAAATATAAATACTTAAATACAGAGTTAGTTAATTTTACCTTTTCCTGCGAGTCTAAGACGCCCAATATCCGCAGTAATATCTGCAGTAAGAACAGCATACTGTTGATCATAACTTTCTATCAAATTACTCATGATTGATAAATATATATATTTTTCGGTGATGTTAGGAAGATTTGAATTATATAAAATTATTGTTTTTTATGACAAACAATTTTTTCTTTGTGTATCACCTTCAAAGTACATTTGGCAAATATAATCAATATTCCTCTTGATTTATTTATTTTCGTTGTCATTTTGACATTCCACTTTCACTACCAACATAAAAGTGACAGTTGTCGAATGACGTGTACGTCAAACACTTGGCCACTTGTCAATATTTACATGAAAGCAGATGTATTTTATTTAAAAACTCATAAAAAAAATCCAACATGTTAATCACGTAAATAAAAAATTAAATTTGCTGGCCGGCGTTAATTTCAACAATATGGAGTATTTCAAAAGCGGTTTAAAAACCGTTCTCGGAGCTGCAGAGCCTGGTGACCAGCCAACTGGCGCTGAAACTGTTAGATATATAATAAAAAAAAATAAGCGCATTATGCTGATATTGAAATTGTATTATGAAAATTTTAGGTGGAGAGATTAGTTGATAGAATAAGTACTTCTACACTTTTAGAAGATCGCAGAGATGCTTGTCGAGCACTCAAAGCACTGTCAAAAAAGTATAGATTAGAAGTAGGAGCTCAGGGTATGGGGCCTTTAGTACAGGTATTTTTTACATTCAAGTTGTATTAATACTATAATTTTATGTATCATCTATCTATCTATTTCTATTAAGGTGCTAGAATTGGACCGTGCAGATGGTGAAATAGTTGGTTATGCTTTAGACACTTTAGTCAATATAACATCATCAAGATTTCCAGAAGAAGAAGGAAATCCAGCAGTTACCCTTAACATGGGAGAACAGTTTACAGAAATTTTCATCAAAAATCCTGATAATGTTTCCTTGGTTTTGAGTTACATAGAAGAATATGATTTCCGTATCAGATGGCCTGCTGTAAAATTACTGACATGTCTCTCAACTCATCGGCCACGAGAACTCCAAGATATAATTCTAGTTAGCCCAATGGGCGTATCTAAACTCATGGATGTGATTGGAGATAGTCGAGAAGTTATAAGAAATGATATGCTAATGCTACTTATACATCTCACCACCGGAAATAGTAACATACAAAAAATTGTGGCCTTTGAAAATGCATTTGATAGACTGTTTGATATAATTAGGAATGAAGGTTGTGCTGATGGCGGCATAGTTGTAGAAGATTGTCTTATAGTTATGTTGAATTTACTTCGTAACAACACCAGCAATCAACAATTTTTCAAAGAAGGCAGTTACATTCAGAAATTGAGTCCAATGCTTGTTATAAATTCAGAAACTGATGCTGATATGTGGCCTCAACAAAAAACTCGAAATATTGATCATATGCTGCAAATAGTTTGTGCTTTAGTCAGTCCGAGTAACCAGACTCAAGTATGCACAAGTTGCCAAAATGCGATGAATAGTTGTGGGCTTCTCCAGAACCTTTGTTCAATTCTGATGGCCGGCTGGGGTTCCTGTGAATATTTTAGCCAACACAATAACAACTATTGCGGAAGTCATTAGAGGAAATTTTACTAACCAAGAGTATTTTGGACATTTACAAGCTCCTTCAAATCCACCAAGTTCAGCTATTGTTATATTGTTGATGTCATTGGTAAATGATAAACAACCATTCACTCTACGAACAGCAATTTTGTATTGTTTTCAATGTTATCTGTTTCGACATGAAACAGGCCAGGCTGAGATTGTGCAAACATTATTACCTAAAGAGCCTATTGTATCAGGATGCACCAGTGGACAACTACTTTGTAATGGTTTATTGAGTGAGTCACCACTCTCGGTTTGGTTTTCTGCAGTTGCACTTATGCACTGTACGTTGGAAAATCCAGCTTTGAAAGAGCAATTATTACAAGTATCATTAGCACCTAATTTAAATAGCCCACAAATCTCCCTATTGAATCAGTGTATGGTATTAATTCAAAAGGGTTCCAATTCTGTCGTACAAGGCAAAATAGGTTTATTAATGCTGCTATGTTCCTGGTTAAGTCACAGCACTAAAGCAGTCAATGCTTTAATAAGTCATCCATCTAGTGTATCTTATTTAATAGCCCAAGTTAGTGCCAATGAGCAACATGATGATGAGAATTTAATGAAAGGAATCTGTGCTCTTTTAATAGGAATATGTATATTATATAATGACGACACACATGCTGATTATAGTAGAGAAAATCTATGTAAATTAATTGTGAATAGAATTGGAGTGGAGACGTTTGTTGCAAAGCTATCAAAATTCTCACGGCACGAGATGTATAGTTTAGCTGCAAAGCAACCTGCTATAAAAGCTACTAAGTATAGAGAGCTGTTACTTGATTATGAATTTTGTGAACTATTCAAAGCTCTAGAGGGTAATGAACTAGAAAAAATGTTATAAATAATTTGAAAATCATTTACTATATAGTTTTTTTTGCAGCACTTATTGTCAAGACAATAACATCATTTGGAGATGGAAGCAATAATTTGAATTTATCTGAAATGTCGTTATCTGAACAAGAGTCTGCTTTATTGTGCAAATATAAAAATATTATTCGAGAGCAAGATATGCAGATGATGCAATTGCGCATGCAAGCTCAGCAGTTATCCAATCAAAACAATGCAATCCAGGTAATATAAAATTTATTTTTCAATAAAGAGAGTAAGAAAAATGTTTTTGCGAGAAAAGTCGGTTTGCTAATTTTATGTTTCTTGACGTTCCAAGTCATTCTGAATCGATTGAGACTAAATTTGGACAAAATATAAGTGAGCCGATTTTCTGATCTTTCGTCGACGTTTTCTCAAAAACGGCTGAACCGATTTCAAAATTTTAAAAGCCATTTGATGTAACTCGACAAGGACTAGCGTTTATCAGTGTCGTGCGACGATCGGCGGAGCCGTTTCTTTGTAATTAACTTGCCTTAAGGCAAATGCCTCTTACAACTAATGATTTTTTTGCAGAGTCAGCTAGAGGAAGTAGTGATAAGTAACAATCAATTAAAAGACCAAAATACTTTATTAAAAGCGCAATTGGCTTCCGGCAACACAAACTGTAATTCTCTAACTGAAATCTCTACTCAAGAAGAGCAACAGGCTACAACAATTAACGGAGAAATTGTACATAAAAATGAAGAAGCTTTATTGAAAGAAGAAATAGAAAAATTGAAGACACAATTGCAAGAAGTAAATTTGTTATTGACTGAAAAAACTAAAATGTACGAAGCTTTGACTAAAGATCAAGAGGATCTTCTGGAATTGTTGACAGATCAAGATACGAAGATCAATGAGTACAAAAATCATATGTTGACGTGCACATTTGTTAATTCTAATATTGAGAACTAATTAAAGTTTACTTATGAAGTGAACATTTGATGAAGTAGAATAATATTTTGAAACATATAATTCCAAAAATTATGTATAGTCTGTGTAGAAATATTATTTGAAAAATATATATGCATTCTACTCTTTTAAAAAGGTATTTGTTATATATGAAATATTTGTATCAACTAGTTATTTCTAGAATAAAGTTATCACTTGAATTAGAAAATGATCAATATAATTTCTAATTGATGTCTTACAAACATACTTACTTAAAATAGTAAATATTTTTAATATACCAAATTTTGTATTTAACAAATTTAGTTCCAGATTTACCATATGAAATATTTCTTATGAAAATGTGAATGAATTAAATAAGAATAAAAATTTAGAACAATTCTCATAAACTCAAATTCATATAATTTCATATACTTATATTATAATACTTGCTATAAAAATAATAATTGTGCTCACAAGATAAAATTAACTTCTATTGTTCTATATTAAATAAAATTATGAAATTCTATAAATTTAAGTTTATGAGGATTGCATTTTGAAAAAAATATTCAAATTACCAAAAAAATCTGTTTTTGCAGTTTTTTTTTCAAAAAATTTCAAATTTTTCAAATGTTTTTAAAATTTTCAAATATGTTAAAAAAACTCAAGATATTCAAATTCATAAATTTATGAATGTTAAAAAAAAATTAACATTTTCAAATACATAAATTTAAAATTTTCAAAAAATTCAAATTATCTAAAAAATCTATTATTTCAAAATTTTCAAAAAATTTCAAAATTTTCGATAAACTTCAAATTTTTAAAAAAATCTAATTATGTACCAAGAAAATATTGTTTTTTCAGGTTTTTTAAAAAAATTCCATAATTTTCCAATGTTTTCAAATTCTTACCTAAATTATTGGGAAATTTGCTCAAAAATTTTGCATTTTCAATTAAATTCAAAATTTTAAATAAATTTGAAATTTTTAATAAAAATTCCAATTACCAAAAAAATCTATTTTTTTTCAAAAAAATTTCAAATGTTTTTAAAATTTACAAAAAATGTAAAAAAAATTAAGAATTTCGATCACATAAATTCACAAAAATAGTAAAAAAATCAAGATATTCAAATGCATAAATCCAAAATTTTCAAATAAATTCGAAATTTTCAAAAAAAAATCAAATTACTAAAAAAATCTATTTAGAATATTCAAAAAATTTCAAAATTTTCGAAAAGCTTTAAAATTTTCGAATGTTTTCGAAATTTTGAAAAATGTTTAAAAAATTCAAGAATTATACATACATATATGTATGTGTACATATGCCATGACCACTATGTATAATGGTGAAATACAGTTATTTTTAATATCTATTAGAAAAACATGAAAAAATATAGCATATGTTTCTAATAGATATTAAAAATAACTGTAGTTATTTCACCATTATACATCATAGTGGTCATGACGAAGTGGTGCTGGTACTTCCTGTACCGAAATTTAAAATTTTTAAAAGCTGCAATTTTTAGAAAATTTGATTTTTTTGAAAAATTTGTTTTTTTGAATCTATATAGATTCTGAAATTTTCAAATAAAATCAAAATTTTCAAAAAAAAAAACAAATTTTTCAAAAAATCAAATTTTCTAAAATTCCAGCTTTTAAAAATTCTAAATTTCGGTACAGGAAGTACCAGCACCACTTTGCCATGATCACTATGTATAATGGTATGATATATGGTATAAATGGTATAATGGTGAAACAACTACAGTTATTAGAAAAACATGAAAAAAATATAGAATATGTAGTAGTATTCTACAGAATTCCTATAAAAACTAGAAATTCCCAAATAAATCATTCAATTCATTATGAGAGGTTATATCATAATCTTAATCCTCTATCATCGCCTGCGCAAATGTATTGTCAAACTGTAGTCGAGTTCGAATCTTATAAGAAGATTAGTCTGTATAATGCGGCAGTTAAATATATCACATTTTCTGTCAACATTTCTCAAAACGCTCTCATGTCTAAATTTATGATGATTATCAAAAGTGAATCATCATTTCGGACTATGCTTATTAGTTTTTTAAATCTCTAAAATGTATAAATAGAGTGTTATATAAATTGTGCAAGCACCTGGAAGCTTCAATTGAATTTTGAGGTTATGTTTATTTTTATAACAATTTCTAGATTTTATGTTAATATATAGAATGTCATTTACCACCGTGTCATGTTTGTTGATTTTACATATTGGTTTTATAAGTGCTACATATGAAAATATTCCTACAATTTCTGTAATTGATACAACAATTCTGAATGGTACAACTACTGTCAAATATGAAATTTTGTATGAAAATGCATTAAGAAATCGGATTCAGGAGGTCTCAGTATCTAGCTGCTGTAATTTTACTCAAAGCTTTTGCAAAAATGATGAAGTAAAAACAATTGTGCACTTTGCAACACCTAAAAAGTTACAAGGTGTTGTTTCATTTTACCCAACCTTACTTACAAAGTCATTTTATTTATGCATCAGATACAACACAAGTAATCAACGCCAAAAAGTCCCTTTCAATATTAACTGGATTCGAGAGAAAAGAAACACCCATCACAAATCATCACTTCGTATCAATGGTTTGCGAGTGGAGCACAGTTATAAAGAAGTAACTTTAAATCCTGAAGGTATCCCAGAGTTACTTGCATCTACTGAAACTACACTCAGACTCTTCGGTACAGGCCTGTCTGAAAACACAATTATAACATTCACAGCGAACGAAAGCTTTTATGGAGGCCCTTGCCTGTTTCCAGCTTCCTCGCCATTTTTGCTGGAACGAGGAAGTATCACAAACACCAGTGCCCGGGTAAAGGTCGTTATTCCTGAAGGTAAAACGTTTTATTTATGTGCCAAACAAGTTTATGTCCATAACGCTCAGCATTTAACATACCAGCAAGCTGTAAGCGATTCGTCTGAGTTTATACATCAAGGCAATGAGAAATTTTTACAGATTCATACTTATAAAAAATTATTACCGCTATGGGCTTCTATATCAATTATTCTATTTTGCTTAACATTCTCGGCTTTATTTTCTGGTTTAAATCTGGGACTTATGTCTATGGATAGAACTGATTTAAAAATCTTGTGTAACACTGGAAGTGAGAATGAGAAACGTTATGCAAGGATAGTACAACCGGTCAGGGACCACGGCAACTTTTTACTTTGTAGTATTTTGTTAGGCAACGTTCTAGTCAATTCAACATTTACAATATTATTAGATGATTTAACATCAGGCTTAGTAGCTGTGATATGCTCTACGTTAGCTATAGTTATATTTGGTGAAATAACACCACAAGCTATTTGTTCTCGTCATGGTTTGGCTGTTGGTGCCAAAACTATTTACATCACAAAAGCCGTAATGGTTCTAACATTCCCACTATCCTATCCTACATCTAAAATATTAGATTGGCTGCTCGGAGAGGAAATTGGTAATGTATATAATAGAGAAAGACTTAAAGAACTAGTCAAAGTTACTACTGATATAAACGATTTGGATAAAGATGAAGTGAATATTATTTCTGGAGCTTTAGAGTTGCGCAAAAAAGTTGTATCAGACGTCATGACCAGAATTGAAGATGCTTTTATGTTAGATTACGAAGCCCTTTTGGATTTTGAGACTGTGTCTGAAATAATGAAGTCTGGTTTCTCTCGTATACCAGTATATGAAGGCGATAGATCTAATATTGTAACAGTATTATACATTAAAGACCTAGCTTTTGTTGACCCTGATGACAACACTCCTTTAAAAACCTTATCCCAGTTCTACCAAAATCCTTGTAACTTTATATTCGAAGATGTTACTTTAGACGTAATGTTTAAACAATTCAAAGAAGGTAACAAAGGCCACATGGCTTTTGTCCATCGTGTTAACAACGAAGGCGAGGGTGATCCATTCTACGAGACAATTGGTTTAGTGACTTTGGAAGATGTTATAGAAGAGTTGATTCAGTCGGAAATTATGGATGAAACAGATGTATTTACTGATAACAGAAGCAAAAGAAAAAGGGATCAGACTCGAGGTCATAAGCAGGATTTTACAGTATTTGCAGAAAGAAGAGAAAATCAGCAGCGTATGAGAATTTCACCACAATTAACTTTGGCAACATTCCAGTACTTAAGCACTTCGGTTGATGCATTCAAACCTGACCAGGTAAATAAATGAAACTAGCTGTAAGTGGAATTCTGTCTTAAGGCAATTAAGGCATCGTGCCTTAAGGCAAATTGCTGGAACTTCCCGTACCAAAAATTATTATTTTTTTAAAAACGATTAACGATTTTTGAGAAACTATAAATTGGACAAAAAATTACTTTTTTTTGAAAATAAAAAAAATTTTACTTTATTTTGACATATTGTGGAAGATCTGAACTTTTTTTTCAAAGCAATCGTACTGCTTTAACTGCATATGGACAAAATATAAAGCGCGTAAGCGCCGCGTCGCTGTCTAACGCATAAGCATTGGTACGGTACCCATAGGAATGTTAACAAAATGTATACTTATTGTTAAAATCTCTATAAAATATCTGATAATTTGATGTGCATATGTCTAATGATCATTTTTGATTGCCAAATGGCTCATTTTTTTACTTTTTCCTCCATATCTCCGAAACCGCTTGACCTACCTTCATGAAAATTTTATCGATTCTTCATCTTATTAATACAAGTGAAATGTTTTTTGAATTAATCAAATCGGACGCTCCGTTCTCTTAAAAACTGAGTTACCGTTTTCGGCACTTTTCGCCCCGAATCTTCGGAACGGCTAGACCTGCCTTTGCCAAAAACTAATCAGCACGTCTCCTTATCAATGCGAATCGAATGTTTTTTGAATTATTCAAATCGGTTGATTCGTGTTCCCGAAATCGTCGACGAAAATTTGTATCCGCACATACATACACACACGTACATACATACACACACACACACACACACATACATCCATTTTTTTTTAAGGTATGCCAAAATGTTCAGAAACCTCTGAAACGTAAAGATATATAAAAAATTTCATTTGTGATTTTTTTGCGATTACTATAACTTGTCCTACGGGAAGGTAAAAAAAACTACAGATTCAAAAATATATTGAAAACTGCTTGCTATATTTTTATTGAATTTATACTTATTTTTCACCCAGGTGTCTGAAACAATTCTTCGTAGACTTCTAAAGCAAGACATTGTTCATATAATGAAGAATAAATCAAAGGACAAGGATCAGCTTACAATATACCAGCAAGGTCGACCAGTAGATTTCTTTGTGTTGGTTCTGGAAGGACGTGTAGAAGTAACAGTTGGAAAAGAAAATTTGATTTTTGAAAGTGGCCCTTTTACGTATTTTGGATTGCAAGCTTTAGCACCCAGTGTTGTAACCTTAGGTCCTTCTGAAAATATTGGAGTCACCACACCAATTGTTGGTTCTTTGGAATCTCTAAATATGGATGTTGCTCTTAAGCACTCATTTGTGCCAGACTATACTGTTCGTGCAGTAAGTTAGATAATGATATATATATATATATATATATATATATATATTTATATATATATATATATATATATATATATATATATTATTTTTTACTACAATATAAATAATCTATAATTTATCTTTGTTAGGTAAGTGATGTGATATACATAGCAATAAACCGTGCTCTCTATTTAACCGCAAGAAGAGCTACTCTCATGGAACGCTCCTCTTTGCAACAAGATCAAACTGCCTCAGCTTCAAATGCAGCAAACGATGCTGTCGAACGATTTGATGATGAAGTTGAAAAACTTCTTCGATCTCTTGATGAAGATGATGAGCTGGAAGATAGAATTGAGAAGGAAAGTGCTAACAATCTTCCTATGGATGGAACTCCAGCTTGTGTGCCAGTCTCCGCAAGCCCTTTCACCAGAGCTTCCATCACAGCTCCTTCACACACGGAAGACACTTGCCCCGAACCTACGGACTTATTATTACCAAAGCAAAATGATGTAAGCACAGAACTGATATTATAGCAAAAGCTTTAAATGTTTATTTTATAATAAAAGATCTCAATTGGTTGAAAGATGATAATGGTATTGAGGTAAACATTTTCAGTTTATGCTAATAAAGCATATTGCTTTTAAAAATATTTATCTTGTGCCATTACATATTTTTTTACTTACCAATACTTTTGGCATACAGAACTTAATTAAAATGTCTCTACTTTCAATTTAGTACAAATATTAAAAGTATTTCAATTACGATTACTTTTATTAAAAATAATACTCATTTATTAAATTGTGTTAGTACAAAACGCGTATTTAATATTTTTATTTTTTATACATAATATTTATTTTACTATAATTATTTTGTAGGAGTTCATGTTCGTGTACATAATATTGTATTGATATTTGCATAAGTTTTTGTAAAATGATACAGTCGAAGGACAATATTATGTTGAACTTGATGAAAGGGTTTTTAGCTTTATAGCAATTGCACTATGAAATAGAGAATTGCATGTTACAGAAATTTTATAAAATATTAGGATAAAGCCATTTGAATATAGCTGCTAGATAATATAAATTGTAAGGTTCTTATGATGAATTATTTGCATTCATTAATTATGTACTTCGGATATTAGGACTGGTTATTTATTAACATTGTTCATTTGGTTTATTATTTCATTATGTATGTATATATATATATATATATAACAATTTACACACACACACACATATATATATATATATATATATACATGTATATATATATATATACATGTATATATATATATATATATATATATATATATTTTATATTTATTATTAATATTTTTAAATTGTTTATGATTGTATTATTTTAATTTTTGCATTTAAGCATTGCCCGTAGCTGTAATAGAATAGACTGAACTAGCAATAGTAATAAAACTTTGTGATTGATTAAAATAATTCAGCAAGCGCATAACTTGCTGCTGGTTACTATATCGTAAACATTTATAAAGCAATATTTATTAATGTTTATTAATAATATAAAATTCATGACATTTAAATTTCTCTCAATATCTACATAAATTCATTGTTAAATAATATGTTTTGAAAATATATTTAAAAACGCTTATATGTTTAATTATGGTAAATGGAATTATATAGCTGATACTAGTACAAATATAAAGCCTTACATTTCGTGAATAAAATTCTGTAGTACTCGTGTAAATATTTTATTAAATAATAATTAAATAAATCTGACATAATCTACAATACTGACTTACATATATATGTAGGTATACAAAATTAAATTAAGATAAAGCATAGCAATCTAATGTACAATTGAGTATTTTAATAACTTATAACAACTGGTATTAAATATTGCACTGCATATTCTCTCAATGGCTTTTTGAATATATACAATTTAAAATCCTATGTACACATATTTAATATAAAGTCATGTTATACATAAACACATGCCACCACATCTTCTCGTTGGCAACAACAGCTTCAGTTCAGAATGTATATGAATACTGTACAAATAAATTATTGATGGCAAAATTAGACGTGCGCTTGTAGAACGGAAAAAATATTTTTCCCCCCAAAATGACCTTTGTGTGCAAGATGATGCCACAGATCAGTTTTCCAATTGAGTTCCAATGTTGATGGATTCGATTGATTGATTGATTAATGATTCACATTTATACTGTTTGGTATCTCCCTTATAGCCCACGGCCAGCGTGGCCCTCCAACAACGGGGAGAGGATCATGTTCTTAATGTGGAGCACGGCAGCAGTCACGCAAGGTCATTTCGAAAACCGCACCTTGCCGAGTGCGTTCGCGGAGTGTTTGTTCACTTTGTTTTGACTACGTTGTTGCTTCTAAGACGAAGAAGTTCGTTTGCGTTAAATGTTGGTGTCGCCCGCCCGGTGGTCGACGGCCGGCGTCGTCGTGCACCGGTAGATGTAGGCGGACACGGAGACGTCGTCCTCGGAACGGGAGCAGGTCTGGTCGGGCAGACAACTGCAACTGTAATGGAACAGAAAATCGATATAATAATATAATATAATACATACAACAGTAAAAAGGTTTTATTACGCAAAGGCGATGAATTTTAAAATGCAGTGGCACGCCGACTTAGGGAACGTCCATAATTCACGTGAGGCTTAAATTGTGAGGATTTAATAAAAAATCACAAAGTATCATTTGAGGAAAGGAGGTCTAGTAAGATATCATGTGAGATTTAAAAAAAAATCTGAATGTTTCAAAATTATTCCAAAACTTTATGATTTTTCTAGGTACAAAAAATACACTTAATAATGTTCAGAGGTAATTTTAAATATCGCCTTGTATCACCAAGGCGAGAGAAACGACCTAAAAATTCTTAAAACGGGGTCACGTGATTAATGGATGTCCCCTTACGACCTAACATACGAGTGTTTCGGTGTAAGAGCCGCCAAAGTAACGATTCGTTGCTTCGACAAATTGCAAAAATCGATATACCCCAGCTTTAAGCGAGTAAGGGTTTTCTACAAAAATGTTAATGGCAAAATGGAAACATGAAAAGTTTCGTCAGTTCTAACAATGATTTCATTTTTCTAACAATGCGGGAATAGCTCAGTCAGTAGCGTGCCCGACTCACACGCCAAAGATCTTCGTCTCGGTTATTGGCATTGGCATAAAATTTGAAATTTAGAGTTATATTAGAATTTGAACAGATGCTTTTAAATTGCATAGAAATAGAAATAAGAAGTAGATTTAAAAATAGTTTATTTGAAATTAAATAGAATTTGAATTGTTAAGTTGATTTTGAAAGTAATAAGAAAAGCAAGATTAAAGTTAGAGGTCAGATTTAGAAGGAAAGAAAACTGAAAATATCATTTGTAAAGAGCAAAATAAAGAAAATTGGATAGAATAGGGCATATAAAAAGGTAGCACATAATATATATAAAGATAGATAGAATGTAAAAAAAATTGTATCTGGCTAAATGCTTTAAGTAGCAAGGCCAATAAAGATACAATAATTTTTCTACCACAATAGAAAAATTGTGGTTGTTTTATGACAGAAAATTATTTTAAATTTAGCCATTTCAATTATATATTAATATTAATTGTCTATTAACATTTTACCCACGAGGATTACTTTAACGTTTAAAAATTTAATTTTAAATAATAGTGATTTTTGCTTCATGTACATTTACAAAATATTATTTACATTTATATCTATGGGTCTAAAGAAGAGGGTCATGTCTCTTAATCAATCAATTAAAACGAGTTTTTTTATTTTCACATAATTATAAACCGCCTGGAAAGGCATGCTGTACTGCATGCAGTACTTATTTTAAGTTTGAACAATATATGGAAAAAATACAGAAAAAATAATAAGAAATATATATCATTTAACACTTTTAAGGATGTTTGAGGAAAGCAAGCTTTTCGCAAGTTGATTGGAATGGTTTTCCAGTTTTGTCAAATACTTGGAGGCATGTCAGCTGATTACTTCAGTTACTGTATATATATATATATATATATATATATATATATATATATATATAATATATATATATATATATATATATATATATATATATATATTGGAGTTTTGATAGATAATGTAAATTTTTTATCATATTTTCTACGGTGCTTCTAATATTTTTTAAGACTTATTTTATGACCTTTGCAAAATGCTTGTTTGCTTGACATATTCTACCCCATAGAGAAATACCTTATGTTCATATCGGTTTCAAGACTACTTCATATACAAGAATCTTGTTGTAAGTTCTTTGATTAGACTTCGGACCCAACTGAATAGTTTTTTTAAATAAAATGCGAAATTATTAAAAAAAAATATGAGGTTGGCGAGGATGTATGCGAGTAACACATCATAAATATGTACTGTGTTTAAACAAAAAGAGTATTAATTTACAAGCACCTTTCTGAGCTCTAAAAGTTTGTTGAAAATTACCTCAAAAAACTTGTGATAGTTCGAGCATAGAAATTGTCCAAAACTTGAATAACTCATTTCCGCAATATCACGAATGAATAGAAAAAAATAATTAAAAAATAAATAAATAAATAGCAAATTTATTTTTAATATTCAAAAAAACTGAACAAAAACCACAGTGCTGAAACGAACAAATCTATTTATATGGAAAAAATTGATTCGAGATACGAGCGTGGTTACGAAACGAATTAAACTCGTATATCGGGGTACCACTGTAATTATATTTATTATATTATTATTATTATTTGACTTACGTGTTCCTCATGAAGTAGCTCACAACTCGCGTGAAAGGTTGGTACACTCCCCATCCGCAGGGCGTACGTTTACTGCAAGCGTTAAAACTTCCGTCGTCCGTTTTGGAAACGTCTGTAGCTAGCAAAGGACTCTGTAAAAGAAAACAATAATAATAATAAGTCAGAAATTTTATTTTATATGGCATTTAATAAAGTATATTCATTAAATTCTTGTATACAACTAAATGTGCTAGTGTAAAGTACAATACAATGTGCTAAAGTTTCTTGTGCAATTTGACAGATTTTGACGTTTGGTAAGTTGTCATATAATAACCTATCTCATGATTATGAATATATTATATTTTATTATTGTCTAGACCTGTCTCATATCTAGATATTTGTGTTTCTGATTGAATTTGAATAAATTCTGAATCTGAATTTTTAAATATTTTTTCATTTGTACATTTTGTATATTTCGTTGAGGCAGAAGTGTCTGGTATGAGATATCATACAAAAATATCTATATCCTAGATAATTTGAAAATATAATATATTCATACATAGTATATAATTGTATACCTGTTATTATTATTAGTTTAATATGACCGTTTCAACATTTTATATCTTTAATTCAACTATTCTGAAATTAGTGTCAAATTAGAATCTGATTGGAATCTGACACATGCTTTGATTTACTGTTTGGTATTATTATACACAATTTTACAAAATTTAATATATGATATATATCATATATATAGAAGATAAATATGACAATTTCAACATTTTATATCTTTAATTCAACTATTCTGACAATTAGAATCTGATTAGAATCTGACACTTACTGTTTGTTATTATTAAACTTAATTTCCCAACAATTTGAAATACATTTTGAAAAATATTAACCTCAACTATTAAAATCACAAAGGCAGAGTGCCAAATACACTTATTAATCAGTTAACTGATTATTAATGACGAATATACTCGTCAAGGAGAAATAACAGTTTTTTGTGTATTGGCGAGTATACTCGTCATGCGTGTAAAACAGTAACTAATTGTTATTTAAATTGAAATTTTTGATAAAATAAATTGCAAGGGAAATATTGAATAACTTGAACAATTTTTAATGAATTTTGATAAAAAAAATTGTATTATCAAATTGTTAAGAAAAAAATGTAAGGCTTTAAATTTGATAATAAAAAAAAGTTAATCAAAATTTATTAAAAATTGTTCAAGTTATTCAACAGACCACATATAAATGGCACACCCTGTATTTTCTGTAATGTCGATTTGTATAGAATGTTTTGAAGTATGACTTCTATTTTAAATCCTAAGCTGAATTTCTTTATTTTAGACAGTTAGATTAATTATCCTTTTATTAATAATAGAAGTATACTTATTATTAATAGAATACTAATTTTTACTAATTAGTAAAATTTCATTTCTATTATGGCAATGCCTTCATATATTATAATTAATTATTATGTGGAACTTACTTTCCATCAATTTTGGTACAATAAGAAATTTCTATTTCATATATTTGTGCGTAAAAAATGCTTGTGGCTTGTTTTATGCGTAGAACGCAAATAAACATAATAATTAAAATAACAACGTGTTTATTAATAATTACTTACATGTCCTATAAATAGCAGTAATATATTCTATATATAATTATGTAAAAACACTTTGTAAATAACTATATTAAATAATCTCATTTGTTATGTAATAATTATTATATAAACAGAACTGCTGAGATTATCATTTTTATGAAATTTTCTACTCAATTTGGTAAATAACTTTATAAATTCAGATCAGACGTAGAAGCTCATTTGGGCGTTCGTAATTTCAATACAAAAATAATCTTTCTTTCAATTAATTAATAATAAATCATTATTATTAGAATACAAATTATTTGACAATAATTACAACTCAATAAACCACTATTTTTCATTTCTTCTATTCAAACAAGTGCAATAATAAAATTTGTTCGTTTGTTGGAAAGGTGACCAAGATTATCAGGATTTCCAATTATCTGCAATATATGGTTAAAAAAACATGAAATGATACCCATAATACTTCATTACCCACGTAAACAACTTAAATCAATTTCCCATTCTGTTCCTTTACAATAAATTACATCAATTAAAAAGCAATGCATAGATCTTATAATTGTTATACCAATTTAAGTCGCGATCTAGGCGACAAATTCAAATCTGCTTCTAAATTATTGTGGACTAGACGGTAACTTCAAAGAGAGAACAGATTTAAACGACAGTAAATCAAGCTGTATTGGAAGCGAGCCATGGGCTATAAATAAATATCCAATTTAGCCAAAAAGAATAATTTGTAGACGGAGCAGATGGTATATCGTCTTGGAGAAATGATCCTTGATATATTGGATTTACTTCACTTTTTTCATAAAAGTAGCTGTAGTATACAACTAAAAGGTGAACCATTGGGTTTCCTCTTAAAAACTAAGCAATTACTCAAAGTCATCCTTTGGGGCGTTCATTAATCATGCTTTTAAGGGGAGGGTTTGACAAAAAATCACAAAATATCACGTAGAGAAGAGAGGGATCTAGTAAGATATCACTTGTATTCATTTTCTACCTGAATTTAAAAAAAAATCAAAAATTTTACATTTTTCATGAATTGGAAAAAGTTGTTCGAAAACTTTTGCATGACTAAAAATACACTTTTCCGTGTCAGCTAGTATAATCTTAAATTTAATGTTGATATATAATTACATCAGTAAAATTTGTATGATTTGAAAGATTTATTTATAATTTAAAAGAAGTAACTAGTGGGGTGTATGGCATCGTGTAAGGCAAATTGCTGGAACTTCCCGTACCGTAAAGAAATGTCCGAGGAATATTAAATGTTTTCAAATAAGTTAATAAATACTGTAGCATTGTTTAATATTTATAAGAATTATATAAACTGAATTGCAAAGTTGAAATTATTTGTTTAAAGTATATTAGAACTTTAGTCAGAATTAAAATTAAAATCTAGAATTATTTTCGATATACAAAAAAAATTTTTTTTTGAAAAAAAATATTGAAAAAAAAAATTTGAATTTTTTTTTTCAAAATTAATTATTTTGTTAAAACAAGCAGAAAGTTCTTTGAATCATTTACATCAGACGCTTAGTTCTCTCCAAGACTGCCATTCTTTGCACATTTAGCTCTGTATCTTCGAAATGGCTGGGCCTGCCTTTGCCAAAAACTAATCATCTCTTTGCCCAATCATTACAAATTGAATGTTTTTTAGATCATTCAAATCGGATGCTCCGTTCTCTCAAAAACTCGATTTCTATTTTCTGCACTCTTTGCTCTTTATCTCCGTAACTGCTGGACCTACCTTCACGAAAAACTAATCAGCACATCTCCCTATCAATAGGAATCGAATGTTTTTTGAACCATTCAAATTGGTTGATCCGTGCGCCCGAAAACATGACTGGAAAATTGTATCCATACATACACACACACACATCCATTTTTTCTGAGGTATGCCAAAATGTTCAGAAACCTTCAAAACGTCAAGAAATGCAAAAATTTTCAATTTCGATTTTTGGACGATTACAATAACTTACCCTACGGGAAGTTAATAATCTGTAACCATTCAAGTAAAGAATCTAACTATTATAACACAAAAACGATATTTTTTTAGCATCTGTAACACTTATCATGTAAATATACAAAAGTACGCTATTAGTATTTACTATTCATATTTGCATTTAATGATATAAGCATTTTGCGTCATTTGCCAAAGAGAATTAATTGTATCGCTTTTTAATTCGAATAAATCACAAGTGCGTCAGTAAAAATCAACAAATGTAAATAAACATTAGCCTTATCTATTGATGATATGTTCTAAACCAGTTTAGATCAGAAGATCAGGGTTGAAAATAAATTAAATATGATCTAGGTTAAAATATTTTTATATGAATGCAAATTGGATATCACATTTGTAATTGAAGTTATTTATAGAATTGATCAATTTATATTTTTGGGAAAGTTATAGAGTTTGCGTTAAAGTAAAACTTTTTATTAACTTCCCGTAGGGTAAGTTATTGTAATGGTCCAAAAATTGAAATTGAAAATTTTTGCATAAATTTACGTTTCAGTTACCTTAGAATAAAATTATGTGTGTGTGTATGTGTGGATACAATTTTTCGTCGACGATTTCGGACTTACAGATCAACCGATGTGAATGATCAAAAAAAAATCGATTCTTTTTTTTGTTGATAAGGAGACGTGCTGATTAGTTTTTGGCAAAAATTGGTCCAGCCGAAAATAGAAATGGAGTTTTTGAGAGATCGGAGCATCCGATTTGAATGATCTAAAAAACATTCAATTTGTAATGATGGGGAGAAGTGGTTATTAGTTTTTGGCAAAGGCAGTTCCAGACGTTTCGGAGATACGGAGCTAAATGTGCAAAAATGGCAGTTCTTGAGAGAACTATTATTGCGATTTGAATGATTTAAAAAACTTCCTGCTTGTATTGACGAAACGATTTTGGGGATTTTTTTATTACATTTTTTTTTAATTTCTAATTTTTTTTCTTGGATATCCAAAATAATTGGGATTTTATTTCTAATTTTATCTAAAGTTCTAAACATCACTCATATACTTCAAATAAATAATTTTAACTTTTCAATTCAGTATATAATTCTCATAAATATTGTCCTTCATTTTAAAAACCGATTGATTAAGTTAAATAAACGTCGTCGTCCAATTCATTAAGCTTTTACATTTTGCCTATAAAATAAGGATAGTAAAAGATACAATATTTGTAATAACCTATTTGTTGAATATTAATAAATATTTAATATTTCTCGAACATTTCATTACGGTACGGGAAATTCCAGCAATTTGCCTTGGCACGATGCCATACACATATTCTGAACAACTTGACATTCCAGAATATATTTTGTTTTCCTCAAAAATTTTAAATTAAATAGCAAATGATCATTGTTTTATACGCATGACATGGTCATGGTCAATACACAAAATTCTTCCACTTCTCCATGAAGAGTATTTTCTTCAACCACAGTGGTTAATAGGTGGTTAATAACAAATGGTTAATAGGTTTTCTTAATGCCTTCGTTCGATAGAAAGTTTCTATTGGAAATATTGTGTCTTTTGTAATAGTCAGAGTTGCAGTTTCTCGTACAATTTTTAATTTTATTGAAAACAACGAAATGTGAATCCTTCTCTTCCGCAGCCTCACAAGTCAGATCAATTTGTATATCCAAGTCAGTCGTCTGCCTAATTAGCATTACGCATATAATGTGCGGTATGCATTTTCTCACGTTG